CAAGGAAAACTAGAAAAAGTCACAATGGTACGAAAAGAACTCAAGTCCCATCTCGATAACCTTCCTGATCTTTCTAAACTKCCTGTTGTTGAGGGGGGTCTTCCACCTCTACCGTCGGCTGGGGATTTGTTTGCAAGTTCGTCAGGACATCGATCCTGACATTGGCAGCAACAAGCAATGCAATCATTTCTCTTGGGGCTATTCTTGTTTTTACATTTTAGTTAGACTTTTTAGTTGGTTCTTTGTACACTCTCAACTGAGGCGGAAGGGAGGGGGGTACTATTCTGTYATTTGTTCTCGCCCCTATGATCTAGAGATATGCCTCTTGAGAAATGGTTGCTTATGTCATRAATTTTTGTAAAATTACTGATACCAATTTGCCAAAATAAGGCTTTTGACTTAGTCTATAAATGGAAAGGAAGAGGACGGAAAGAAAGAATAGTTTTCTTGAAAAGGCAAAACAAGCAGGATGTATTTTTTAGCGAGAGAAGCAAAGCACTTGTCAAACAAATAATGTCCTATAGTATGACACAAAATAAGAATCAAAATTCATAAAATTTCGTCGTTTCGTAGCTCTTATCGAACTGGCTATAAACCGTTGTTTGGAGCCATCTTGGTACCCAGGGGTTAACTTCTTCGCTGGTTGAAAAACAAAGGAAAAGACTGCTTAATTTACTGTAATGAATTAGGGCGATGCACAATTTGTGCACGTATATCTTGTTTAAAGTTGTCATGGTATCAACCTCCTGGATGCTTTGCGCGCCTTGTCATAATTTCGTCTTATAACCAAACTATAAACGGCTTTTTCAGACAAATTAGAGGTTGATGAAAATAACCTTAACAGACTTTCTGAACTTTCAATGAAGGAAGAACAAAACTACCACAGAGAACTCAAATTTCAAAGCATGTATGGCTGAACGGACCAATCATAAACCAGTAATTCTATGTGAAGCGAAAACAAACGATCGCAAATTATCCAGGTTGATACTGGGCCTTTAGAGTGGTTTTCATTAACCCGTGAAACACACTTTAGCGTATTACACTTTATTACACTTTGTCTCTTTTGTTTTCTATTGTATTTCTTGGCTATTACACTGTATTACATTTTGACTATTACACTTTGTTTCACGGGTTAATGAGAACCACTCTAAATAACTAGTCTACTAATAATAAGAAACTAAACCTTATTCGTGGGTCTCTTTGGTGACATTCAGTCGCTGACACGCCCATTAACAAGGGACTTAACATGTATGTATATTTTAGGGTATTGTATTTGTACTCTATCAACTTCAAAAAAGCACTTCTTTGTCACCCCAATAATTATAATGTTAAAAACGTTTTCTCAGCCATTTTTAGCTCCAATAAATTTACTAAATATGTGATATTGGGTACGTTTTGTGTGACCTTTCTTGTAGTGACAAGTACTATAGCAAGATTTTCGACTAGAGGAGTCCAGAAATTTGAGATCCCTTGCTCAAGGTACAGTATGTTCAARGGAGGGAATTGGCGGGCATTTTGTAGGAGGTTGTTGGGGTTTCTATGATGTTACCATGGACACAAACGATGAAGGTGATAGATTCTTTATTGTTTTTATTTACACTGGGTGCTATCTAGTGAACACTATTTACAATTCGTTGTACTCTATGGCTAATACAGTCATTGCTATTGCCGTTGTCAAAAAGAAAGAGAGAGAGTAAATCAACTTTATTGAAACTGACGCATGGGAACTACTGAAACTTTTGCATTTTTAAATGATTCTAATTTCGTGCGAAAGGTTCATAAAAAATCGTGTGATCGCGCGGGACAGTTGTAGGCATTCATGAAGTGCACTGTACAAAGAGAGAGAAGGAAAACCGAGCAATTGTATCTTTCAATCATTCAAAAAGCACTTAAAGAACAAACATCGTATTCTATGAACATTTCTTTTCATAGCAACGGTGATGGCAGTGACTGTATTCACTAATAAACTATTTATAAACTATCATTCATTAATTAATTCTACATCACGTGATCAAGTGARTTGGAATAGTAGAGTTAATACCACTATAACTAAACTGAGTCCATTTCTCGAAGAACTCGACGTGTCAACATCGTCGTCAATCTTCTTATAAATAATAAGAATTCTCTTTTTGTGTTTCGTCGCTTTCGTCTGATTGGTTGGATTTAATTCATTTTGATTGGTCGTTGGCTCGCTATGTCTGATGGTAGGGGGAAGTGTAGGTCTTGATGTATGGGGCTCCTGTGTTGTTCTCATCAATARGCTACCGCTGGACTCGCTATTGTTTCCTGCGGTACACACTACGAAAGAACATGTCATTAATGAAATCATCGTCAATGCGAACTAAACCTGTTGAACGGACTCGCGMAAAAACAAGCTTTGTATCACGAATTCTCACTTGGTGGGAATTCTCTCATTATTATCCTAAGCGGAATCAAAACCATGGTTTTAAACCATAATAGGTYTCATAAAGGAACGACGAGGACCCCGCCCCATTTTATAAGGGTGTGCCTTTCCCTGTGTCCACTCCTTCAAGGTTCATAAAAATCAATTCCAACAAACCTTTGGATGTCGAACAGCCATACAATTCCATCCTGAGGCATATCATCCCGTTAGCGTTCCACGTGACCGGTCTTAACCGAACCAGTCTAGCCGTGAGCGGTGTTTTCAGCTTGTTTAGCACTTTGGTATTTTCGTCTTTATTGCTTTTAAAAATCTAGAAGCATAAACGTTTGTTTTATTAGAAYAATGATGTGCCATTGTAATTTTTAATTTCGGATTTAATAGACCAACAGCTTGCATGCGCTCTCTAGAGCGATGGTGTACGACAAAGAGAGAGAGAGCGAGAAAAAGAGAGAAACAAAGGCAAAATAGACAAAGAAGAAATGAGTGAGAGACAAGAAAGAAATGATGCGATGGGTATTGAGTAGTGAGGGATGGAAGGACGACAGGAAGCAGAATTAGAAGGAAGGAACTGAAGGAAGAAAAAAGAGAAGGAAATAAAGGAAGGAGGAAGGAGAGAAGAAATCTTGGAAAGGAAGTTTTAAAAAGACATGAAAAAATAAAGGGGAAAAAAAAAGAAGACGCGTAATCAATATCATTAAACATTTCATAGAATGAAAGTGGAATATGGGCCATATACTACTGTTTAGAGAACTTTATTTTTCTCAAGCTTTCATTCTCGCACAGCATAATGCTACTGAAGGACAACTTCACTACTTTGAAACATTGCATACTTTTTGTTTTCCTTGTTCTTCATACATAAACCAGGTCGTTCCATTACAGCTGTAGCTCAGTGTAAAACTAGTCACCCAGTTGCCTTCTGGGTAAGCCAGCCCTTGTGTTGCTACAGCAACAATATTCGTAGGCCGAATGAGGTCTATTTGAAGATATTGCTTGTTGTCAAAATACTCTGCACACCAAGACCCCAGAGACAATTTCTTTTGCCTTTGAAACCAATTGTTAGAAACAATAATATAAATAAATAATCACTTAATTACTTAATCGATCGATCAATCAATCAATCAATCAATCAATGAATCAATCAATCAATGAATCAATCAATCAATCAATCAATCAATCAATCAATCAGGAAGTCGGTCAGTTCCATGTATCAAACAATTGTATAATTCCCAAACCAGTACTATTAACATAGCAATTGCAGTATGCTAACCTGTTATTGAGTCTGCCTGCCGAAGGTAGCGTTAGAGTATCCTGGTACGATGACGCGGTTATCTGTGAGTTCTTAATGCGCTTGTCTTCCATTCCCAAAGCAGATGTACAGGCTATGAAAATTGATTGACGATCAAATTTACATCTAATACTGAATAGACAATATCAACGATTCACACTACTATTTCAGATTTTCACGTGAGTAATTCTATAAAGGTAAAGCCAGTCCAATAAACACCGAACCATGACACTCAAACAACCAACCAATCACTCCACCAATCTACTATCTAACAATTGACATTCAACCAACCAATCAACCAACCAATCAATCAACCAACCAACCAAACAAACAACCAACTAAACAGAAACCATCCCACCAACCAACCAAGCAATGCAACCAATTAACCAGCCAACCAACCAACCAACCGATTACACAACTCCAACCAACCAACCGATTACACTGCATTAACAAGTCAGTCAATTCATAAACACTCATTAAACTTACCAGGTTTTGTCGTTGTTGCTTGTGTCGTTGTTTGCGTCGTTGTCACGGTAACTGGTAACGTAGTCTTGATATAAGGACGTTTTGTTGAAATGTAACGCAATGTTGTAGTTGGTGACGAAGTGGTAGGTAACGCTGTTGGCCTACAAACTAAGAAAGTAAACCATCAAAAAAAAAAAACGTGTCTATGAACAACACTACAGTAGTACAGTAGCAAAACGTGACAAAACGACTTTATTTCTTTTGTAACGCAAGACCGTTACCTTGGTTTGCGTGACATCCGTGGATTTCCAACCTCATACATATTAATGCTATGCGATTCCATGTGATGGGATGAATACGAATCACTCGTGTGGTTATTGGTATAGGAAGAGAGACAAACACGGGCGTGTCTGGGTCGTAATTTGCATTAAAAATCTAGAAAATACATATAAAACAAATTCATGATGGAGTATTATGACAAAATTGTATAACGGCTGTAAAAGGTAAATAATTGTACCATGTACCTAAAAACTACAACTGGCTAAACGATATTCACATATGCCAATAATCTTTTGTCTGCAACTGTTGTATGTAATAGACCTTTTGCACGACATACTGGATGGGAAAAGAATGTAAACAACCTCAAAACAAAAGGAATGAAGATCGACAAGCTCGATTTTTCTTTGTTTTTGAAAATCCCAGTGGGTATTTTGCCATCCAGTATGGCGGACATGGTACCATGTGACCGATTCATGCAAATGGTCTATTTGCACGTGCATGCAATGTCCAGAAACTCAAACCCAAAACTTGGGATGATTTCTATTAAATTGTAGCATGTTTTAAATTGTATACAATATCACGCGCATCTGTGCGGTATCCCTGTGTATACAATTTAATCAAACGTTCAATCAATCTCGAGCCCAGAATCTTCACGGCTAATGTCAGCGGTATGATCTCACACATTGACTTCCGCTGGATGGCAAAAGTGTGGGCTCTGGGTACGAGATTGATGTGTACTTCAAAGTAACTGCATTCGCGACTCGCATTACCTTAGGTATGCCCCCTATTAAGTACGGTAGCCATAGCCGACCATCACAGCTGTAGCTGATGGAATACGATGACACCCAATTCCCACCAGACACCCCTAATCCCTGGCTCGTTATACCGGTGACATTTTTGACAGTCAGTAAATCGATGAGTAGGTACTGCTGGATATTTTGCTTGCTGGCGCACCATGCGCCTAAAGAAATAAACCCAGACCTGCAAGAGCAATATTACTTGTTACGGAGAATTCGTTAACTCATCCTTATGTATTATGGCCTTTTTGGTATACAACGCGCTCTCTCATTGGCTGATGACCTTGTTTACATCAGGGTTTGCAGACATTGAGCGAGTTTTTGTGGTATGTACCCATAAAAGGCATACCAACTTTATAAGATAAATACAAAAAGACCGCTTGTTTGAGATGCGTTCTCTCCTTTTATAGCYCTTCAAGTTCTCAAATCCTTCTTGTTCTGATTGGTCCCAGGGAGTGGTTATTGCTAGTAAATCATTTGCATGAGATTCAAACAACAAAAGAAAAGACCGGCGGCCGTTTTGGATGAATGAGCAATAGATGCTAATGAGAAATGCTTTGCTGTCGAAGTTCCTCCAAGATGGCCGCTGTGACGTAACCTGAAATCCKGCAAATGCTGTACATAATATTCTACGCTGAACACATGGACTTAAGAACAATTTCATGATATTTTCTTGTGGAATGTTCTCTTATTTACCATGTTGTTGTCATCGAATCGTCAAAATTATTCATCCACAAGATGTGTTTTTTTTAATCCAAAAACTGAATCAGATGCGCTACTATGAAATACAAAAATTAACGTCAAATTGATAATTTCCTTTTTGTGGTTAACGTTTTTTTCCGTTTTATATGAAATTTACAAAAAAGAAGGAAAGAAACAATTAAGGAAACACTAGAAAGAAAATCCAAAACTGTGGTATATACTTTTATTTGCCACGGCTCTCGACCAATCAGAAATCAAGAACGTCTTAGGCGTCATAGGATGCATCATTCCTTGAATTTGATGAGTTTATATAAAGTACCTTGTATTGTGAAGTCTTGCAGAGTGAGCAAGGGCATGGTCGAGCTCYGATGAGGCTTCGATTTGAGAATCTTTGATCGAGCCCGATTGCATTCCCAGACTAGCATTGCACACTGAAAAGAAAATATGAAAACATATATTTTGTTTATTTAAATTTATTAAACGACAACAAAAGCAACAAAATGTCATGTTATGCCATCATACCATGCACAATATATGACGTCAGAATACAATATGAAAAAATGATGCATGCTGACGCCCAGATATGGAAAATTGACTGATAGCTCTTAGCCAATCAGCAAATGAGTATCCGTTTTGCTTGAAATATGAATCACAGCAAAATTATCATAGAATTAGATCAGACTGAGGCCATCGGAACAAATAACTGAAAATGTATAGTCAAGACGCTGAAAACAAAGGAATTTCTTAATACATCTATTTCACGGATTACAAGTTATTTAGGTACGTATATGCAATTTCCACATTTTCAAAATGTCCTGACGTTCAAGACAGTATTTTACACTAATTACAATTAAAGTCTGTTTTTTCTTCAAGTTTTTTCAATATTGATATGTTTKAAGTCAACACTCTTTAATGGATTCCAGATTTTTCTACTGTCATCAGTAAGGCCACTGACCTCTCGCGATAAACACGAGAAAACACTTGGATATCTAACACTCACTGACACTAATTGAAAAAACTGAGACGACAAGATAAACTTTTTGAATGATAACACTCTAAAGGTCAAGAAAACACGGCTGTGAGCTTACTGAGAAGGCATTTAATTCTTCTCCTTTACGCTACAGGGCGCCCATCCCAAGCACATTACAGCACATAGCCCTATTTAGACGTATATATATAATCGAGAACGAGTTTTTTGATAAATTGCTGTCTTTCGCTATAGTCAATCCATATATCGATATATTAATATGATCTTGAAGGTAGTTTGACGACGATAGAAAATTGAGGAAATTTGAAAAATTACTTATTTCAGAGATAGTGTTGCTCTGTAAGTATTTCCCTTATTTTTGTTCGTCCGTAACCTAGAAATAAAGCTTTGAATTCGTGTTTAAAATGTTGTGTATTAAATTCAACAGCTTTCGCAGAGTATCTTTAATTGTACATTGAGAAGAGGCCGGTATGCTGTACTTTCATCAAAGACAGAGAACTCTGAAGAGTTGAACACTCGAAAGAAATGATGTCAGACGCACAACTAGCTGTAAGACTCTCTTAACTATCTAAAGCCAAGACTGTAGTTTAACTGCTGTAGTGCGTGACAAAAACACTGACTATATACCTATATCTCAACAGTTTAACCAAAGAGTCAGTCAATAGCAAGACTAAACTATCGAATTCCAGCCTGGATTTTGTGATAACTAAAATTTGCGCAGCGCGCGCGGGAAGGCGTTTGCTCATATAATTATAGAATAAGAAAGAATGAAATTAAATCAGATACAATCATATCTGAATGTGTTGCTTTAGTAATAACTATGATTCACATCCAAATGTTGTTTCTAGCGGACCACACCAAAGAAAACTACCCGATAGCTTATTGTCGCCAGTAATTTCCGCAGCAGYCAGTCTGTATTGATTGTTTTTATTGATTTAAATGAGCACGCATTCTTTCGTTTATAAGTTATTATCCTTATCTTTTTAGGGGGATAAAAATCCGCTAAAATTGTTGTTTAGTTTAGCATATGTTATCAGAAAAAAATTCTTGCTTATAAAATTAATAAATAGTTGCAAAATGGCGCGCAAAAAAACCGCAGTACGGTCTTAAGATTTAAGAAATTGCTCAATCTTGCTTTAGTCTAATCGGTTTTTATAGTATATATATATATATAATTTTACCAAGAATTAATAGTATAACCATAACAATTTGATCGTAGAGAATATTAAGAATATAAAAAGTATTTTATCTTTCCAGAACCGAGGAACCGAGTCGAGGAACTCGTTCAAATTATATCAACAGWGATGGATTGACTGTCAATGATGCGATGGCAGATTCAACTGTCCCATGTGTGGCGTTTCGTCCTCGTTTAGGAATTTTAAAAATTCAATCGTGGTTCCGACTTGTCGAACACTATTCTCTTTGGGAAAAGAACTAGTTCTTGTCCAAAATAGTACAAAACAAGAGAAAAACATACATAGTACAAGAATAATAACACTATCAAAACAAAACGATTTTATTTTACATCGAAAGTTCTTGAGAACGTCTAAAAAAATTTGAATTTCAGTCTATAATACTCTAAGTCAAATGAAATTGTTTTTATGTGTATATTGAGGCATTTTAAAACGATTGAGAGATCAAAAATGCCTTTGTTTTGAAATAAGTATATCAATTTATGATTTTTTAAAGCAAATATAGCACATGTGCTGTGTTAATTGGATTAACACCTCATAACTCACTGTCCCGGCTCCCTTTCTCCAAACACCGAGCTCTGGCTGAGTTCCATATATCGCTCGTGTAGGTCAACTTCACTCTTTATCACTGTACTTTGCTTGGATTCAGGAATTCTAAGCATAATCGGTTCTTCTCGTGTGCGCCGCGTTAGCAAGCGATTTACAACTTTGTAGCCATTATCCCACTTGAATGGGCTCAGCGAGGCTCACAGGCAAATCCGAAGCAATGCTCGCCGCGCAAACCGTTTCAAATGCCATTACTTGAGCGATTAGTTCTTCCTGAGATTGTTCACTGCTTTAAAAGTTTGTCTAAAATCAATAACTTGTGATTTAAATGCTTGTTGGAGGCAATGCAATCAACTACTTAAAGCCATTATCGCGCGAACGAAACTTAATATGTCTCGAGTATAATGTAGTTCAATTCAAGGCAAACTTTGTGTACAACTATATTGGCAATACATTGATAATAAGACAAGGGAAATGTGGGTTTATTAGTAATCCTTACCACTTATTCTGTTCGCCATTACTTCCTCGAATGCCTGTACAGCTAGAACTACATGGAGCCAAAATCGAAGCGAAACTTTCTTGTCCATGGTTAAATTGGTGTATTACTGTAGTATCATGAAACAGCTTGAAAAATACTCGAGTACTTTCAAATCTCTCACTTTATATACTTGATGTTTGTGTAGTTTCTGGATTACACACTCAGATACTTTGGTTAAGTGTGGCTTTGAAGAAAATCCCGCAAATCCGTAACAATTCGCAGAGAGTGTTGTACAACAGATGAGAACAATGAAAACCTCTCGAACTTCTCCGGTTCTTCACAGCTTTTGAATCCCTATGAACTGCTCGAACTACTGGTTTTATAACAGCAGAGGTGACTAAATAGGATTACGGCCTTTGCTTCTCAAGCAGAGATAATAAATCTTCGCATTTTGACAGGTAWSTTCGTCACATGGGACTTGTCCAGAAGGGTACTCCTGATGTCACCACTTTCACAAGAGCTTGATTTGTATCTTAACTGCGCACTGCATTCAGACCTGATCGACTTCGAATGAGATATTTAATTAATGTTATTGGCATCAATTTGTTTTGTGTATTTGCTTTCAATGGGTGTAATACGAGTATTTTGTAGTCATAATTCTCTTGATTCCGTTAATGCTAGAAACACTTCCGCCTCTCCGGAAAGGCGTCACCACCAGAACATACTAAAGACAATAGGTTGAGCTTTTGCTTGCTCTGTCTTCATCCATCAATGTCAGGCAGCTTCCAAACAAATGCAAGAAAAAAAAGCGATGTGACAGAAAGCTGACAGGTTTGATTTACTCTTTACACGGAGCATGAGGGCCAAGAATTCAAGCCGTGCTGGGATAGATCTGTTTGCGGCAAGATAAAACAAGCCCAGTGGCTTTGTCTGGAATGATGCGGTTGGCAGAAAGTAATCATAAATCAAAGTATACTGACGTGAATTAGCTATAACCTACTGAATCATCTACAGAGTATGTTTTGAACGCCTTGAGGGCTGTTTAAAGTGTTTTCAMAAACTTTTCGCCCTCTGATCCACCATGTATGATCCCGATATCCCGATACATTACTCAAAACATTTGGAGGTGAGTGATTGTGACACGACCATCAGCAACCAGTGAAGATTGAAAGGTTTGACTATTATAAGAGACAGAATCTAAGGTGGAGTGATGATTTGTAAGGGATAGTGTGGTATCTTTAGCATTTTAAGGGCTTTTGAAAGGGCCTGTAAGCAGTAGTGATCTATTGTTYAGGGTTTGGTGATAGCGATGGATATTTTGAGAAATATTGAAGTCTCTTATGTTAAGTTTGTCAGATTGCTACAGATTCTAGGTTCCTTAGTGCTCTGAAACTGATGAATAAAATGATAAGAAATATAATACCAGCCCTCATAAGAAAATGAAACAGTATTCAGTGAAAGCGAAGATAAGTGAGTCAAGAAGTATTTTTTTCTTTTCAAGAAAAATCTTTGGTTTTTCTAATATCATATGGCATCGGCTAAGAAATCAGGGTAGATACGGTTTTCATCGTTTATTCGTTTGTAAACAATAAGTACTTGTATTTTTCCTTTTTTTCCCCTTTTTTCCTTTATCCATCAGTCCAGTCCAACCCCATTGCCTAGCTATTGCACGTGACCCCATGAATCTTTTCGGGTTCATGTTTTCATTGTCACGCGGTAAAATCAAAATGGCGGAAGTTCTGTCAGGAGAGTTGTTGCAGATTTTAGCCTTTTTGCATGGTAAGAGCTGCTTTAATGTTTCCAAAATACCTACAGAAACATTCATAAGAGTATTTTAGATAATTCTATAATAGCTTTAGTGGTAAAAATCAAAAACAGCTTGCACTTTCAAGACATTTTAACTCGAGGTTTTGCACGTGGCTTGACTTCACACCTTCAAAACAATCATCCTTTGTTTACTTTGATGGTATATTTTTGTAAACAARCTCCCAACTATATCCATCTATCTAAGATATACATATAGTATGTATGTTGGTTTTGATTTGTTGTTTTTTTTTGGGGTAGAAACCGAGTTGCATTCGAGCGAGGTCGACGAACTGAAAGTTTGCAAACATTTAATGAAGAAACTTCGAGTTTTCATTGGATTTCCAGCTGAACACCATCCTAGACAACTGGAAAAGAGATTGAACAAAGTGTTGAGCTACTAAACAGGGCTGTATGTGTGTGGTGTTGGTGAGTACATGAGTTATTTTGTGGATGTTTTACGTTTGCTGTCGCTCAGCTGTTTAGCTGTAAAACTATAAAATTGACCATTCTTAGCAAGGTTTGCCTTTTTATATTCACTAGGAATTGTTGGTCTTTGCATATAATTCAATAAACTTGACAATAGCAGTACAAGATATTTAAGATAAAGTTAACATCAATTGAAGGAACTTGTATTCTGGCTATAAAGTGGCTGATTGAATAAATGAATAACTGGAAACTGAATGAGATATAAATGATCATTATGGTAATGATGGTGATGACAATTTTTTTTAATAGACTTCTTTAATTTACTCAAACAGTGAAACAGTTAATATCTTCTAAATTACATWAAGCACTCAATAATAGAAGTAAATGATAATGCTAAAAATGTAGATTAAAAAAATAAATTGTTATACAGTACTGTCAAACCATTCATACTATTTTTGAACTGGTTATTAAACAAAGTGGAAAAAATTGAATTAATAAACAAAATGAAAAATAGATTATAAGAAATATAACAATATAACCATCATTGTTCAAGTGGTGTTAGTTAAAAGTGTGAAACATTATACCATTTTAGTTTACTATCTTTGAACGACTACTCTAGTAAGCGACCATCTCCCGTAAGCGACCACTTTTTCCTGATCCCAAGGTCGCTTACGAGAGAGTTGACTGTAATGGTAATTCTTTTGGTTTCCTTTGTTCAAGGTTTCCTTTGTATTTTTCACAATTTAGTAACTTAATGTTTCACACTTTTATTGAATGCACTCTACTATTCTTACATTGTATGTTATGAAAATGTTATGAAGTTGTAAGTGATAAAGTGTTATACAGTTATGTTATTTACATCATATTTTACAAGTTTTGAAATAATATGGACAAGAAAGAGTCCTTACTTTCCAGTCATTTAAAACGAAGAACAACATTTCTTTTCTACAAATCTGRAAGAGCATGTTTTATTTTTTGAAAAGAGCACATTTCTGATCTGATCTGGGCATGTTTTCTCTTCTGCAAGAAAGGACATTACTATACTCTTATATAAGAGTACATTTCTGCTTTACAAAAGGGCACATCTTGTGTCATTTAAGAAATATTATTTTATGCAAGGGCACATTTTAATTCTATGAAAGAGCACATTCACATATTTCTGCTCAATAAAACATCATACAGTTTGAACATCTTTTATATGTATTTGCCTTCTGCAAAAGGACTCTTCTCTACACAAGGGCACATCATTTTTTGCTTTACATTCTTCTTGGAACATTCTGCTCTCAAAGAAGACCATATATACAAGTGGGCACCTTTTTGCTCTACAGAAGAGCATGTTATTTTCTGCACTAAKAAAGGACACATTTCAACTCTACTAAGAGCTCTTCTCTTGTACAGTTTGGGCATTATTGTTTTAGCAAAGGAAATATTGCAGCTTTACAGATGTAATGCATTCCTATGGATGCATTTCAGCTTTAAATACAAATTCACATTTTGGAAAGGAAATTTTTCTTCCCTTTCAAAGGGCACATAAACTTTTTACCAAAGGGCACTTGACTATGTCTATATTTTTGTTTGACAAAAGGGCAACTTTTTGCTGTACATAAACACTAGTTTTTGATTTATAAAAAGGGCATATTTCAGCTATACTATTCTAAAAAGAAAACTCCCTGGTACAGTCTGGATTTTTTAAATTTTG